GTCCATATATATAATAGCATCTCTTGAAATGTAGCTTATGGGATTAATTTTCTCTAAACAAAATATTAACAAATTGTAAAAGAAAAAAATAGAATTTGGGATTTAATTATTATATAAATGAATGAAATAATTGAGAGTTACAGTTGGGTTTCATAAGCACACTATCTATATATGGATGTAGGAAGCTAAGCTTAACTAACTTCTTCTTTTTATATATAAATTTTCCTAGTTAAGAAATATTTAAGAACTTTAATGGATTTACAACTTCTTTGGTTTTGAGGAGAAGGGAGGGGCAGGATATAAAATTTCCTATTTGAATAATAAAAATTGAAAAAAAAAGGAATGTGAGAGGAGGGGAGGAGTTTTTCTTTATTTTCTTTTATAATTTTAACATAACTAAACGAGAGAAAGGAAGGGGAAGAGAGAAACCCACCATTCAAACAAAATAGTGAGTTAAATATATCTAAAAATTTAACTCTATCTAATTCATGAATAGATTTCATTTCAACTTTATAGATTCTTCCTCTCATAATTAGATCAAATACAAAATCGTACTTACATTAGAGAGGACAACAAAATTGAAAATATATATTTTGTCATTTTTGCCTTTTTAATTTTTCATTTTGATTTTGGTACGTGTTGAGGAGAAATTTGGAGTATGATGTTGAATGGATTTCTTGAAAGATGAAAACCATGGTGGGGTTTTGGAATGTCTCCTTATAGGATTAATAATTTTTTTATTTTTTATTTTAAAATTTTCAGTAAAGCTAGTTTAAGTGTTTGAACAAATTTGCTTTGAAATTTGAAAAATGTATGGACTAAACTATGATTTAACCGTTTCCTTTGACTGCCGTGATCATATTTTTAAACGGGAAGTATCGAAACCGTTAACAAAGGATTATGAGGACAAAAAATAGTTTAGGGGTTTATGTGCAAAAAGGGTTAGTTTGGCTGTTTGTGTTGTAGTTTGTGAATGCAATACCTTAGCTTTTATTTTTTAAAATCTATTTGCTATCTCAAAACATATAAAATATTAATTAAAATATATATTAATTATATTAAATATAATTAATAAAATAATTTATATTTATTATTTAATAAATATTAATTATTTTATTAATTAATAATTAATAATTAATAATTAATAATTGTTTATTAATCATATTAAATATAATTAATAATTTTAAAGAT